GGATGGGAAGGGATGGGAGGGGGAAACAAAAGAGGAGGCTACAATGCTTGATAAGAAATGTACTCATTTTCTTGCCCATGTAATTGTAACCCCTCTGTACAGTATTTTCACAATAAAAAAAGATAAAAAAGAATTTCACGGAAAAAAAAATCTCATGGACTTTCCTTCCAGGGCTGGCTTTGAACTGTGATCCTCAGATCTCAGCCTCCTGAGTAGCTAGAATTACAGGTGTAAGCCACCCATGCCCAACTGGAGAAGCTTTTGAGGCCTAAATATTGCAACACCAGGAAGTCAATGAACAGGAGAGAAGCTTCCCAGACTAACCCCAAAAGAGCTTGCTTAAATAGCCAAAAGAGGACCATGTTATGCTTGTGCTCGGTAATTCAACCAATCATAGTTTTGTATATGAATAACTTCCAGGTCCACCTTATATGACCCAAACATGCATATGGACCAATCACAAGCCTCTTGTTACCCCAATAACAAGCTTTTAACTGAGTCACTGGGGAGATGCTCCTATCTCCTATACTAAGAATAGCTCCTGTACGAGCAAGGTTATCTAAAAGTTCACCAAAGCTTGTCTTTAGTGTAACTTTCTAAAGCCAATGCAGGTTGCTTAAAGCAGTTGTGATGTGAACATCAGATATTATAGTGGCCCTTGCAGCTGGCTAGGGGGTAGCTTCCTCAAGATATCCGAGAAAATGTTTAAAGCAACTGAGATACCCATGATGACTCTTACTGGGTGCCAGCTCCCATCACGAAGCAGCTAAACACACTGTCAATAGAAGGTCAGATGGGGTGGGACAATAGCTTGATTTGAAGGAAAAGTAAACATTTAAGGGTGCTTACAATAAAAACATAATTAACATTCCTTTGTTTGGCTGGTCCTGGAGCTTGAACTCAAAGTCTGGGCATTGTGAGTTTTTCTGCTACAGGCTAGCCCTCTACTACTTGAGCCACACCTCCACTTTTGGCATCTTGATGGTTAATTGGAGATAAGAGTCTCCTACCGAGGCTGGGAATGTGGCTTAGTGGTAGAGTGCTTGCCTAGCACGCATGAAACCCTGGGTTCAATTCCTCAGTACCACATAAACAGAAAAAGCCAGAAGTAGCATTGGGGCTCAAGGCTAGCCTTGAGCAAAAAGCTCAGGGACAGTGGCCAGGCCCTGAGTTCAAGCCCCAGGACTGGGGAAAAAAAAAAAAGGCTTCTACCCAATCTGGCTTCAAATTGTGATCCTCAGATCTCAGCTTTCTGAGTAGCTAGGACTATAAGTGTGAGCCACCAGCACCCAGCTTGTGTGTGTGTGTGTGTGTGTGTGTGTGTGTGTGTGTGTGTGTGTGTGTGTGTGTTCAATTTGAAATACGAGTCTCATTGTGGGGCTGGGAAGGTGGCTCAGTGGTAGAGCGCTTGCCTTGCATGCCTGAGGCCTTGGGTTCTATTCCTCAGCACCACATTAAGCAAAAAGAAAAAAGCCGGAAGTGGCACTGTGGCTCAAGTGGTGCTAGCCTTGAGCTGAAGAGCTGAGGGACAGCACCCAGGCCCAGAGTTCAGGCCCTACTACCAGACCCCCCCCAAAAAAAAGAGTCTCATTGTCCAGGCTGACTGTACAGTGATCCTCAGATTTTAGCCTCCAGAGTTACTAGCAATACAGGCATGAGGAGCCTGACATTAATGTACTTAATACAATTTAGCTGTTTAACTCCTAGCCAAATCTCCTTAAGGAGACTTAAATATTTTTGTCTGTCTGTCTTTTTTCTTTTTTCTTGTTTTTAATCTTTTTGCCAGTGGGGCTTTAAATCAGGGCCTGGGCAATATCCTAGAGCACTTTTGCTCAATGTTAGAGCTTTATCACTTTGAACCACAGTGCCACTTCCAGTTTTCTGGTGGCTAATTGGAGACAAGAGTCTTCCTGCCCAGGCTAGCTTTAAACTGTGATCCTCAGATCTCAGTCTCCTCACTAGCTAGGATTACAGGCATGAGCCACGGGTGCCAGGCCCTGTCTTACTTTAAACACATATTTCAAAAGGTTGAGAATAGTGGGCTGGGAAGTTGGCTCAGTGGTAGAGTGCTTGCCTTGCATGCATGAGGCCCTGGATTTGATTAGTTGGCACTACGTAAACAGAAAAAAGCCAGAAGTGGTGCTGTGGCTCAAGTGGTAGGGTGTTAGCCTTGAGCTGAAGAGCTGAGGGACAGCACCCAGGCCCAGAGTTCAGGCCCCAAAGACTGACAAAAAACAAAAACACACACACACAAATGTAGCCTCAGTCATAGCTTAGTCTTAGCACCTGAGGCCAGCGTAAGAAAAAAGAAAAGGAAATATTCAACTTCATCGGTCCTACTCCTGATCTCCTGTAATCCTAATTTCTCTGCTGAAGCTCAGAAAACTTGTAACAACCTCCCTTCTCTCCTCCTGAGATGCTAATGTCTAACTAATGAAAGCCAAAGTTTGAAAAGCTTTGACCAGGGGCTGGGAAGATGGCTCAGTGGTAGAGCACTTGCCTTGCATGCCTGAGGCCCTGGGTTCGATTCCTCAGCACCACATAAGCAAAAAGAAAAAAGCTGGAAGTGGTGCTGTGGCTCAAGTGGTAGAGCGCTAGCCTTGAGCTGAAGAGCTGAGGGACAGCGCCCAGGCCCAGAGTTCAGGCCCCACAACTGGACCCAAAAACAAACAAACAAACAGAAAAGCTCTGACCAAACCTTTTAGTGTACTGGAATGGTTGAATCCCCTGCCTCCTTCAAACTTTCAATTCTGGTGCAAATACACCTTAGTTATAGTTACTTTATCTGTCTTAGACCATAGGTAGAGTTCTTTAATGTTTCTTTCAGGCCATTCTAGTTAACCTCTAGCAATTAATCTTGTAGCTAGTTTTTAACAGACAGGGTTCAGGGTTCTCAGGCAATTTGGGGAAATTACCTCATGAATGGCTCCCTTATTTATATGGGCTCACACAGAAAGTTCAATGTTCAATTTTAAAACAGAATTAAGGTAGTTTGTGGAATATGCTCAGAGTTCTCAAGTCCAGTCTGGCTACTATTTCTTATCAGTATAACCTTGTACAAGCTGTTCAGCCTTTCTGGACTTTAGTTTACTCCTCCATTAAATAGTATGAATAACAGTATCAAGTTCATAGCAGGAAGAAGTGAAAATGTTCTGGGCATTATCTGGCACATAACCTCAGTAAACACTGGCCATAACTCATTTTTCACTTGCCTTTATATATTCCTATTAGTGTCTCGCTTTTCATGTTGCTTGTCTTCCTTCCATTTCATTTTTTACATGAAAAGGAAAAAGGAAGTCAGCTTGATGTTGTACAACTCTAATTCTCATATTCGTGAGGCTTGATAAATCTTATCTCCAATTAATCACTCAAAAAACAGAAGTGGAAGGCGGGTACCAGTGGCTCACGCCTGTAATCCTAGCTACTCAGGAGGCTAAGTTCTGAGGATCTCGGTTCAAAGCCAGCTTGGGCAAGAAAGTCCCTGAGACTCCCAATAAACCACTAGAAAACCAGAAGTGGCACTGTGGCTCAAGTGGTAGAGCGCTAGCCTTGAGCTGAAGAGCACAAGGACAGCATCCAGGCCCAGAGTTCAAGCCCCATGACCGACAAAAACAAAAAACCTGGAAGTGGTGCAGTGGCTCAAGTGGTAGACTGCTAGTCTTGAACACAAAGTGGCTCGGGGACAACACCTAGTCCCTGAGTTCAAGCCCCACAACTGTTAATAAAAGAAAAAGAAGTAAAGAATTGGAGCCAAGGTAGACCTTGAAATCACAAATCCTGCTACCTCAGGCCCTCCCATCGTCAGCCACAAGTAATGTGAGGATCTCAGTTGTGCATCATGCATCCATTTTTTTTTTGGGGGGGGGTCCGGTCGTGGGGCCTGAACTCTGGGCCTGGGCACTGTCCTCAGCTCTTCAAGGCTAGCGCTCTACCACTTGAGCCACAGCACCACTTCCGGCTTTTTTTCTTTTTGGCTTATGTGGTGCTGAGGAATCGAACCCAGGGCCTCAGGCATGCAAGGCAAGCGCTCTACCACTGAGCCACCTTCCCAGCCCGCATCTTTTTTTTTTTTTTTTTTTTTTTTTTATTCTAAGGAAAAGTGACAGAAACTTTTTTTTGTTTTGTTTTGTTTTGGCCAGTCCTGGGATTTGAATTCAGGGCTGGGTGCTGTCTCTGAGCTTATTTTGTTCAGGGCTAGTGCTCTACCATCTGAGCCACAGTGCCATTTCTGGCTTTTTCTAAGTAGTTTCTTGGAGATAAGAGTCTCAAAGACTTTCTTGCACAGGCTGGCTTTGAAGCTCATTCCCTCAGATCTCAGTCTCCAGAGCAGTTAGGTTACAGGCTTGAGCCACCGGCCGGGCTTGACAGGAACTTTTGACGGATAAAGCAGGGAAAGGGGTTGGCTATATGGAAGAGTACGAAAGGAAGAGGAGATTGAGAGTAACAAAAACATTTGTGGTAGGGAATAGTAAACAGACCGCTGAGATGGATGGCAAGCTAGACTAGCAGGACAGAAGCTGCAAATGAAGACATAGGAATGGATTTAAATCCGCCAAGCTGAGAAAGAGGAATGTCCCGGTAAAGGAACTAGGCCTGAAACAGGGATGTGGTGGTAGCTACGTGAGAGAGAGAAGGGGGAGGAGAGAGAAGGAAAGAGGACAGAAGCTAGGGAAGAAGGGGGCGGGAGATGGAGAGAAGGAAGGGAAGGAGAGAGGCAAAGCCCCGACCAGTAAAAAATAGGGCGGAGCCAGAGTTAAAGGCGGACTAATGGGTAGGGTTCGGGCTGCGGGAGGTGAGGCGGGAGGGATGTGGTCTGGACGGGGGCGGGGCGGGGGCGTGGCCACGCCCCGAGGGGCGAGGTCGTGCCTTGAGGGGTCGAGAGGGTGTGGCCATGATGGGGGCGTGGTCATGGCTTGAGGGCCTGGCAGTGGGGCGCGGAGGCAAGATGGGCGGTGAAGGGGCTGGACCTGTGGGGAAGGCGGGCTGGGCGGTGCGGGAGAGGAGAAGGGGCCGGAAGGGGGTGGCTGCGGGTCCGGCTCCGCCCCGGGGCTGTTTCCCAGCGGGTTCCGTTGGCCGTGGCGGCCGCCGAAGCTATGGCAGCGGTGGCCGCGAGGCGGGCGTAAGATGGCTACAGGCGTGGTGGGATCCCTGGGCCTGCTATGGGGCTGGCTGTGGAGCGAGCGCTTCTGGCTGCCTCAGAACGTGAGCTGGGCGGACCTGGAGGGCCAGGGCGACGACTACCCGCGCGCTCGGCACCTCCTGTCGGTGTACCCGCTGGCGGCGGGCATCTTCTCCGTGAGGCTGCTCTTCGAACGGTGAGAGCCGTCGGAGCCGGGGCTGAGGGCCGGGGGCGGCCGGGGAGGACGCGGGCCCGGGAGCCGCTTGGGATCGGAGACCGAGGGCCGGAAGCAGAACTGAGGGCAAAGCCCGGAAGCTGGGGCTGGGGGAGCGCGTGCCGTGGCGGGGATGCTCGGGAGCGGGGTGGAACGGGAAGTTGTGTGGCGTGAACTAGTGAGAAGAGTGAGCCTCGACGGGAGTGCCGGCCCCCTCGAGTTGAGTTCCTAGAGTTTCTTGGGAGTGTCAGAGGCCGCCACCCTACCGAGGTGGAAACAGGTTGAGCGTGAGGTCAGGCAGAGGAACGCAAAGGGTCCTGAAAAGCCTGAGCTCCTTGGAGTTCTGGAGGCTGCAAGGGGTCCATGCAAAGCGCTGGACCCTCCAAGCAAAGGGGGTTATAAGTCCCTAAGAATCCTAAGATTTGTAAAGGCCCTTTAGCTGCTGAGAGTTGGGGATTAGTTAGACCTCAAGCCCTGATTTGTCAGCTCCTGGACGTTTGTTGGTGAGACTGAAGAAATTGTGTGTGGCGGGGGAGGGGGGAATAGGGCGTGGTGGAGCCTGAGGCTTCCAACGTTAGGGTTGGTGTCTGTTTAGCTGGCGAACGGGCCTTAAAGTCTAATGGTGGTAGGAATAGCCCACGGAAAAGATTGAAATCCCAGGGTTACTTAGAGGATTATTTGTGGAAGCCAGCTTCCAAGGGAGATTAGAATAGCCACATACTTCGTCCCACCATGTGCTCTGGTTAAAGGTGATTTCACAGTTCTTTGAATGGCAGGTCATAACTGCTATGTTAAATAAAGGGGATTTGGGGTCAGTGCAGCTGTGGTTCTAGTGATAGAGTGCTAGCCTCAAGCAAAAATGTTCAGGGAGGGCTGGGAAGGTGGCTCAGTTATAGAGCGCTTGCCTTGCATGCCTGAGGCCCTGGGTTCGATTCCTCAGCACCACATAAGTAAAAAGAAAAAAAGCCGGAAGTGGCGCTGTGGCTCAAGTGGTAGGGCGCTAGCCTTGAGCTGAAGAGCTGAGGGACAGCGCCCAGGCCCAGAGTTCAAGCCCCACGACCGACCCCCCCCCCCAAAAAAAATGTTCAGGGACAGCGCCTACTTTTTGAGTTCAAGCACCAGGATTGGTACCCTTCCCCCACCCCCACCCCCACCCCCCCCAAAAAAAAGGATTTGGTGTGGAAATTTTATAATATGGGTTAATAGATATGAGTCGTTTTGATCGATTTTACTCAGACTTTAGCAAAGGGGAAGCACTTCGACATTAGTCCATTTTACTTTTTATCTGCAGCAGAAGTGACTGTAATGCAGGAATGTCTTTCCTGGAATGAAATGTGTTTCATGCAAAATAATCTGTTACTCTGCTGAAGATTAACGTCTGTTTTGGATTACTGATTTGGTCTGTCTTTTTCTGACACAAAAATCTTATTAAAACTTCTATGTATCTAGATATCTGTTCATAATGCTTTTCTTTTACTATAAAAGTGCTGTACCAGACGTTCAAGTGCAAAAATAAAACTGCATTTTTGTATTTTTTTGTTGGTCGTGGGCCTGAATGCTGGACCTGGGCTCTGTCCCTCAGATCTTCAGCTCAAAGCTAGCGCTCTGCCACTTGAGCTACAGCGCCACTTCCGGCTTTTTCTGCTTTCTGTGGTGCTGAGGAATTGAACCCAGGGCCTCATGCATGCAAAGCAAGCACTCTACCACTGATGCACCTTCCCAGCCCCTAAAACAATTTTTTTTGGGGGGGGGTCCGGTTGTGGGGCCTGAACGCTGTCCCTCAGCTCTTCAGCTCAAGGCTAGCGCTCTGCCACTTGAGCCACAGCGCCACTTCCGGGTTTTTTCTTTTTGCTTATGTGGTGCTGAAGAATCGAATCCAGGGCCTCATGCATGCAAGGCAAGTGCTCTACCACTGAGCCACCTTCTGAGCCCTAAAACTGCATTTTTAACTGAAGTAAATGAAACCCAAAGATCTACATACCTTCCTGGGTCCTCAGAAACTTAACATTGCAGGTTTTTGTTTTTGTTTTTGGGGTCCGGTCGTGGGCCCTGAACTCTGGGCCTGGGCGCTGTCCCTCAGCTCAAGGCTAGTGCTCTACCACTTGAGCCACAGCGCCACTTCCGGCTTTTGTTCTTTTTGCTTATGTGGTGCTGGGGAATCGAACCCAGGGCCTCATGAACCCAGGGCCTCATGCATGCAAAGCAAGTGCTCTACACTGAGCCACCTTCCCAGCCCTAACATTGCAGTTTTTAAAAGTATGTTCATTGTGTTAGGTAATCCTGGGGTGGAGGCACAAACCACTTGTCTCTCTTAGGATTATACTAAATCAGATAATCTCCTTCTTTGTAGGGTCTATTAGAACTGAAAAGAGAAAGAAAATACAACTGTAAAGGAATATGCACAATTCAAGTGGAGGAGGAAGCAAATTGTCATATATGAAAGGTTTTCATCCTTTCATATAGATATATACCAATTTTTGTAATTGACCACGTTAGTGGTCAAATTACTTGTTACTTATATACACTCATTATATATAAACATGTATCTCTTCAGATTCCAAAAGGTTCCCCCAGATGAAGACATTATCTGGCAGAGCACTTGGAAGGATACTTTACCTGCGGGAATTCTATCTGAGTGTTTCTATGGTGCTCCAGTGTCAGGGGAATATGGGTAGATGGGAATACTGAGCTGAGAGCATTCTAGTATGATATTTCTTGGCTAGTAAGGACAGGTACTTTGTTTCATGTTTGCTCTTAGGAAAGTTTAATGCTAGAAAGTCTTCCTATTTTGTTATGACTTAAGATCTACTACTTCAGTAAATAATTTGAATTGACTGCTAAATTGCCAGTTCTTCTCTAATATGGGAGTCTTCCATAAAGGAAACAAAGTCAGGAGGCCCTGGGTTTGATTCCTCAGCACCACATAAGCAGAAAAAGCCAGAAGTGGCACTGTGGCTCAAGTGGTAGAGCACTAGCCTTGAGCTGAAGAGCTGAGGGACAGTGCCCAGAGCCCAGCACCCATGACCAGAAAAAAAAAGTAAAAAAACATTTAACCTCTTGTTCATAGTATTTTAGGGTTTGGAGAAAAAAAATCCATGCTCATGCTATTCTTGATTATATTTGTTTGGGTGGGGTCTCAATTTGTTACAACATTTTAATGAGTGTAACACTATTTCCCTTGATAAATGGTATATGTTTATATCATTGTAGGAGTCTTCCAATTAGTTCTTTTTCTTCCTTCTCATAAACTAACTCTGATCATTTTTTTTTTTGCTCTCATATTCCCTAGAAAACGGCAGCCTCATCTAATAGAGATGACTTGAAACCATATGACCATAAATGAAGTATTTGTATCTAAGTAATTATGTATTCTGCTAAAGAACCCCAGAATGAACTTAGGGTTGTAGCTCAGTGGCGGAGTGCTTGCCTAGAATGAGTAAAGTTGTTAGTTCAATTCCCAGCAAAAACAAAAAACACTGCCGGGCGCTGGTGGCTCACGCCTGTAATCCTAGCTATTCAGGAGGCTGAGATCTGAGGATTGGGGTTCAAAGCCAGCCCGGGCAGGAAAGTCCATGAGACTCTTATCTCTAGTAAACCACTAGAAAACCAGAAGTGGTGCTGTAGCTATAGCAGTAGAGCCCTCGCCTTGAGCTGAAGAGCAGAGCACAGGGGCGGCGCCCAAGCCTAGAGTTCAAGCCCCACCACTGACCAAAAAAAAAAACCAAAAAACAGAAAAAACCCCACCAAACCCCCTCCCCGCCACAGAGTCAGTTATTACCTACCAAAGAATTGAGACTTTTCTTTGTGGCCTCTGTTGCCAATTATATTGTGGTGGCCTGTATATGAACTGAATCTCAAGCATAGCATGTAATCAGTAAATAAGGAATGATTGAAGCCCCTCTCACCTGTAATTCTAACTAGTCTGGAGGCTGAGATCTGAGGATCACAGTTCAAAAGCCAGCTTGGGCAGGAAAGTTCATGAGACTCACAAGAGCCTCCCGTTAACTAAGAACCCAGAAGTAGAGCCATGGCTCAAGTAGTAGAGTGCTAGTCTTGGGCAAAAAAACTAAGGGACAGCCGGGCGCTGGTGGCTCACGCCTGTAATCCTAGCTACTCAGGAGGCTGAGATCTGAGGATCGCAGTTCAAAGCCAGCCCGGGCAGGAGAGACCGTGAGACTCTTATCTCCAATAAACCACCAGAAAACCGGAAGTGGCGCTGTAGCTCAAGTGGTAGGGCGCTCGCCTTGAGCTGAAGAGCTGAGGGACAGCGCCCAGGCCCAGAGTTCAAGCCCCATGACCGACAAAAAAAAAAAAACTAAGGGAGCTGGGAAGTTGGCTCAGTGGTAGAGCACTTGCCTTGCATGCTCGAGGCCCTGGGTTCGATTCCTCAGCACCACATAAGAAAAAAAAAGCCGGAAGTGGCGCTGTGGCTCAAGTGATAGAGTGGTAGCCTTGAGCTGAAGAGCTGAGGGACAGTGCCCAGGCGGCCCCACGACCGGACCCAAAAAAAAAAACAACTAAGGGACAGTGCCCAGTTCCTGAGTTCAAGCAAGGACCAGTACAAAATTAACTAGGTTTGAGGGTATGGCTCAAGTAATAAAGCATCTGCCTAGCAAATATGAGTCCAAATTCCAAATCCTACTACCAACAACATAAAGAAATAATAAAAATAAAATTGTAACTCAGTGCCCAGTTCCTTGAGCACTTGTCCTTGGGATCAAGTGAAGAGCTTGACACCACGAGAGCTATATATTATTTCAAATATCCTAATATAACAGGAACTTCATGTTGCCAAAAGAAAAAAATTTTTTTTTTTTTGTCAGTCATGGGGCTTGAACTCTGGGCCTGAGTGCTTGAGCTCTTCAGCTCAAGGCAAGCCACTTGAGCTACTTGCAGTTTTCTGGAGGTTAACTGGAGATAAGAGTCTCCTTGGGGGGTGAGGGGGCTGGGAAGGTGGCTCAGTGGTAGAGCGCTTGCCTTGC